AGGCACGTGTGATTTACTCGAATACAAACCGTTTCCTTATGCAGATCTACCAACCTTATCGCACGTGTGATTTACTAGAATACAATAAGTTTCCTTGTGCCGTTCCACCAACCTTCATACAAGGGTGATTTACAACCTCAATGTCTTTTTTCCTATAGCTCAGACAACCTACGGGCAGTGTCAGCCAACAGATTTGTGTACCATCATTATCACATACGTTCATGTCAACATTAAAGATGCTGGATATACATATTATGTATGTACCCAGAATGTAAAATAATCAGCCCAGACTGTGAATGTAGAAGCTGCAATAGAGCTGCGCCACTTTTAGGACACCACAACACACGGTGCATCTCCCAATTGCTGTAACCTTCATCCCCACATCACCCCAGACACAAGACCATTACATGTACACCGACCCAAAGGGTAACCTGTAGGCTCGAAGATCCGCTGTAATTTGTCCCCAAAATACGTTCCATTAATGTTTATTCCGGTGATCTATTTCAGCCAATCCATACACTGAACGATCATAGAAGCATCTTCCATGTCAGCAAGCCCAACCATTCCTGTCTTTATCACTCTCATTTGTCACCGTATCAGCAGACTCCTGAAGCAAGCATTCTTTACTCATGCCACTTCTTCTTCATAAAAGATATTGACAGCCATCCTTCATCCTCACATCCCATACATGTACCCGGCAACCCTGTGTAAAGTACAGTTGTATTGACATCCAACAGAAGAGAAGCGTGACTTGCAGAGACGAAGGTCGGTAGGATCTGATCATCTTGGCTTTCAACATGATATAGACACTTTTCGTGTTACAAGAAGGTCACATCTACAATATCGAACTAATTTAAGGAGAGGGTGGTATAATGCAATCTCTGGCTCAAAGAAGATCTTAATGTTTAGACTTCTGAAATTGTCAAATACACAATTTTAAAAAAGTGAGAGAAAGCAGATATCTGGAACTTCAAATTACAGTGCACCCTGGTAATAATGCCCCTAGTTATAATGCCATCCTGGATATAATGCCATGTTTTTGCCAGAAGGTATTTCCTGCCTATATAATACCCTGTTTATAATGCCAAACTGGATATAATGCCATTTGTCATTGGTCGCATTATAACCAGGGTGTACTGTATACTTTATGTATCAGCATGTCCGAGTATCAAGATGACAATTTTCCCGTATGATCAAAGCATATTTTTATGTCAGCTCATAGATATATATGTCAAAGAATATTAGAAAACGCAACACGAAAACATCTGAGATTTTCTTCTTCTTCTGAGTTTGTACCTTTTTACAGTGAATTTAAAGTCGTAAGTCCCAAACATGCAATTGCTGGGACAAGCAAAGTTTAGTACTTCCTCACGATTCAGTTCATTTCTCTTCATTTCACGCAGATTGCGGGTGTCAAATAGGGCTGGCTCTGTTTATTCTTCAGCAATATGCAAGAATTTTCGACTGGGGACGTTAGGTTTGAGATTAACACATTGCACGCAGGGAGTTGAACCTATGTCTGCGAAACATTTAACCACTTGGCTACCCCATCCTTCCAGATAATAATTAAAAAGATATCAATCCCAGTAAATACAACATAGTTTAAGACATTGCCCATGTATAACCATGTCAGCAACCCTTCCAGAAACAACGGAAACTGGATCGCTGGCTGCACAAACAGTATATGCGTCTGAACGCAAAGAGCCTACTCGTCTATACAAATATCGTATGACATTTGGACAATTGGGATGAAAGCCTATGTTATTATCAAACTCACCGTGGCATGAAATCCAACTTCATTACTCGACCGTCAGATCTGTGAGATGCGTTTATAACGAGGGGCGTGGGTGGGGCCCAAAGGGGGTGAGGTTGAAACAATGGACTAATACGCCGCAATGACGTGATGGGGGACAGCTGTGCAGGATCTGTGGTCATAGAATCCCATCGTCACCACGATTACCATCTTTGATTTTTCATGTAATGAGAATATATAGAATACCTTGCAAGCTACTGTATGATCAATGAACCGACTCATAAATGTGTGTATGTTTTATATGAACATATATAACACAATACATATGAACATCTGGGAAATAAAAATATAAAGATTAAACGAAATATAATTTTACAAAATCCTTGATTTTTCAGCGCCATTTAAGAGAACATCATAGATGTCGTGATCGAGTCTTTAAAATTTCTATATTAGACAGTCAAATTGCGTTATCAATAAAAAATATATTACAAATCGAACTCATTGAACTCACTACAAATTAGTATTTTGTGATCTTCGTACGCTATGACGTTACTTTAAATTGATTAATGTTCACGCTGATCAATACGTTTCCAGGTACAGTCACCATAAATTACAGTCATAAACCCTCCTTACAGACATAAACTGCTTCAGTCTTCTTTCAGTATGAATATGACAGGCCAAGAGAAATACACATACTTAGTTGATGGTAAAACAGGTTCATCGGGAGAAAACACGGTTTAATGTCTAGTTCAAGATTAATGCAAGTGTGTGTGTGTGTGTGTGTGTGTGTGTGTGTGTGTGTGTGTGTGTGTGTGTGTGTGTGTGTGTGTGTGTGTGTGTGTGTGTGTGTGTGTCTGTCTGTCTGTCTGTCTGTGTGTGTGTACTCGTCTGTCTGTACTCGTGTTATTTTCAAGCCCATCCCAACAACAGAGGTGTCCATGGTTGGACTGACTGAGTTTGGTTTTACGCCGCTTTTAGCAATATTCCAGCAATATCACGGCGGGGAACACCAGAAATGGGCTTCACACATTGTACCCATATGGGGATTCGAGCCCGGGTCTTCGGCGTGACGAGCCAACGCTTTAACCACTAGGCTACCCCACCGCCCTAGCTTACTAAGAACCAGCCTGTCCATGCTTTATCTCCTCAATGCGGACAAGTGACACTGTTTAACGTCTTCTGGTATGATGCAGCAGTGATTATAACCCAGACCTTCCGCTCTCCGGGCAGCAGGAGCAGTGGGATAGCCCAATGCTTAAAGCGGTAACTCGTCACGCCGAAGGCCCGGGTTCGATTCCCCACATGGGTACAATGTGTGAAGCCGATTTCTGGTGTACCCGCTATGATATTGCTGGAATATTGCTGAAAGCGGTGTAAAACCCCCACTAACTCACTCCCTCTCCGGGCAGACGTCTTATCCAGTAGACCATGGCGACGGTCAATGAATAACTAATGGTATGAGCTCCACGTATGTGTACACTCTATGGACGTTGCTGCTGACATACTATTAATGACGTTCACAACCCTCCAAATTATACATGCAGTACTTAAATCTGCATTACATGAGCGCAGGGTAATTCAGTGCATCTATTTAACCCTAAACTGAACTGTTGTATGTAGTAGGAAGTTTAGCATTAATCATGACAATATGGCAATAGCAGCAGTAGCAGGGATATTTTTATGTCGAACTCAACGTGCATGGGAGGCGGATATTTGTCACGCACCTCTGCATGAAAATAGACATTCCTGGAAAATTCATGTTTTACAATCGGTATGGACCAATTCACCGGTTTTAATTACACCACTTCAGTTGCCTCATAGCTCACATGGCAATGCCATGTTCGCAATCACGTGTCCCAATGCAAGAAACAATCTCACTAATCAATTGAACAGATCTTTAAGTAGCATTATCTCCATGTTGCTTTGATGGGAATGGTCAACCATTTTTAACTGTGCCTATTGCAAAGCTGCTAAAACGTCCGGTTTCAAAATTCAATCCTTTCCTGGTTCCCTTAAGGTCGGAGCTGTATTTCACGGGCAGGGACGCCTTTCTGTAGCTACAAATTAACATCGATTTTTCACTATGTTTAGAAGCCTCATGCTTCTACGTGGTACTAGTTTCACAACATTATCAGCTAACCTCACTAAAGCCGAAAGCAAAGGAAAGATGATACCCTTTGTTGTATAAGAACACCTTTCTCTGTGGCCACTCTTGAGAATTATCAACTTACGCATTTAAACAGCAGTACATGTCTGGAGTTTATGTTCTCATCACGTTTCTGTCACCAAGCCCTCCATCAAAGCATCTCGGTGATGTCCTAATTACTATGCACGCCACTTTATATAGTTACTGATACACATTGACATGTACGTCAAAGTCTGTCTAAATATAATTTATTGGCATTGTGAGACCATTACAAGGCAGGCTTGGTTTGGTGTTGAAACGGTGATACTGTCTCTAGATTAATTCGCATTTGATCTAAATACTTTAAAATCGCAGTTTGGGCTTAATAATTATTGAATGGACATTATTACCATTTTGAATTATTTCTTTAGCCTAAAACTTTGAATAAGTCCGCGTTGCCATGACAGCCGTCTTAGAGAATGAACCAATTTGAAGTAGATCGATGGGGACTGCTATTTTTCTTCAAGACGAATTCCGTTCCCGAGTTGTCCTTCCACAGATGGCTGATTACACAGTTTCGAATCGCAGGTGGTGGTTGCAAACACAGTTGGCAAACAAATTGAAAACCTGATTTGAACACCGGAGTCATCATTGTTATTATTTTTTCAGATATCAAGAGCCCTGTGACGACAATGCACTGCCTTCAAGTGTGATCAAATTGATCAAATTCTGAAATCACTGTCAATTAAACAAAAAATCTTATCGTGCGAAACCTTTTGTGCAAAGGGCATCATCAAGATCTCAATAAATCTTCCTCAGTCACGTTCGTTCAGCACTATATTGACAATATTGATTCAGGTTAATACCATAAGTGAACGGAATTAAGGTCAGTCGGTCTAAATCAGCTAAAAAACGTTTTATTGAGCAGTGAACACTTCCTTCTGTGTAAACAAACTACAATTTACTCAGTCTGCATCTGAATTAACGATGTCATTATGTCGAAATACAATTGTAATTGAAAGCTGTTTTCCGTCTGGTTACAGAAAGGTACATATGTCCAAAGTAATCCCTCAGGGCGTCTCAGATGATCTTCCAACGTAATGTGAAACAGTACAACAAGATATTGTAGTTATTTTTATTGTTATTTTTATTGTTTTGATATATTTACACTTTGGTACGTATGGCATAATAGGCGCCATATTACCAACACGCGGGTACCATGGGTTTGTAAAGCTTCTAAAAATACACTATATATGTATATCATTTGGTTCGTTTTATACAGCATTGCTAAATAAAACGTTTCTATGCTTACTACTCCGGAGCCTGATTAAAGTCTAGTAACATTCATGCAAGAAAAGCAAAAATTTACAATTAGTATAAATGTGTAAATTGTTATCAGATTTTGTCTTTGGTGATGTTTCTTATACAAAGGAAGAACTGCTGATGTATATGAAAAATCAGTTTCATACAGTCTATACGTTGCATAAGGACATTAATACACGAGAACGCAAATTATCTTGTATTAACGACTATTTCATCACAGTAAGCCTACAGTGAAATATAATACATAATTATAGTCATAGTGTTTCCATTTGAGCATATCAGATGACACGAAATGTACAGGTAACAATATTTAGATTCATATTGCTGTGATAGACTGCCAGAAGGAGATGTTCTTGTGCTGCTATTTTCCTTCGTCTTCTGCATATTTAGCGGCTGGGACGATAACAAGAACAACGAGTGTTGAGAAAAGAGTGATAAACATGAACAGCCAGAACATGAGTCTGTCGACCACAAGCGCCACCTGTTTCCATTCATCGTTCATTTCATTCGCTCTGTCCTCTTCATCGTTCTTCTCAACAATCAACTTGAGGTACCTCAAGAGCTCCTCCATGCCTGTTCCTGAACGCTCGTACAAATGCATCCGAACGTCCGAGTTTGAATCCTTATTGGAAAAACTACGTCTGGTAGATGATCGAAATTCAACACTGAGGTTATCATCGGACCTTGATCCCATTTCTTGTGGGTGATTTGACTTTGGAACTAAGCAGTGATCCCCAAGAAGGCGCGAACAGGCATCTGAAGGTTCTGTGTCTTTAGTAGGCGTGACTACTATGAATGGCCTGTTTTGATCCCCATTGGGGGTTGTGACACAGCTACATCGCACTATAGAAGCCAGCACCTTTAAGACAAGATATCGCACCCAGTTAGGAACCTCCGATTGGTTTGGAGGACAGTGGTGAAGTTTTAATATGAAGACAGTCAAGATTACAGACACTGATGCAACAGCCATGGACATGGTTAGGTAGATCTCTGAAATGGAAACAGAAACGTACTGTTACACTGACACACGAGTAATTTACATTTAAAACTCTCCTACAGCTAATGACAAATCATCTTAATTAAACCAAGAATTCATTCGCGTTACAATACCCAGATGAAACTTATTAGAAGGATATTGTCTTGCTCAGCTTGAAGCTGAACGTTCGACTTCGCTATCAAGACATGGTATAGTCATTGACATGAAACAGTGCTTTATTAAGGGGCAGATGTGTCGTATAGAGAGAATTCATTGTGGATAAGAAATGTGAAAATGTTGGGGTTAGGTCAAATTCAAGTTACATCTCAGATGTCCCATTAACGTAGCATCGTGAGAGTTGCTCTATTCCAACCAATTCCGTGGAAAGTATACATAATCAAAGTTCAAATAAATCAAGTGGTAATGTTTTGGCTAGCTGAAAGATACCATCCATTTAATTAAACTAGTTCTAGAGAAAATTAAAAGGCGGAATCCCAGTGGGAAGTCCTCATTGTGAAATTGTTTCCAACCAGCATGGGGCTAGAGTAATTGTATTTTGCTTGTGACTGATGCTCAGAATGGCAGAATCTTTGTTAAAGTCCTTGAGACATGTCCTTGTTCCTTCAGAAGAATAGTGCGACAATGAAGCGTACGTGTTGCACCCAATTAATGAATCTATCACATAAAAGCCAGATCGTCTTAACTGACCACAATCAGTGCCTCCTTAGCAATCTCTTGACCCTCCACCTCCTGGAAATACAGTATGAGCACTCTGGATTACAAAACAGTTTATGAAAAGAAGAAACTGCTCGTTTTAGTGAGAACACATCAAAAGAAAATGCACTGAGCCTGCAAATTGGTTTTTGAAATTGCAATTTTATTTTCAAATTAAATTTGAAAATATTGAGCGTTACTGCACGGGAAAGTAGCAATTGGTTAAATCTCTCTAATTCCCATAAAGGCAATGTGACAGTTCTCATGGGCTGTGTTAATATTGCCCTGCAACTCTGTACTGGTGCGCACACAAGTTTATCGATAAGTCTTAGGGGAAAGAACGTGGTCAATGGAATTCCTTAGATAGTCTGGTTTACACTGAAAACACACTTTGGAAAGGGCAAACGCTCCTATCGTTGGTTTACTTTCTAAATGCATCATGTTGTTACTTGGAGCCTGACCTTCTTTCGAGAAGGAACATCCCTCTAAATCAGTTAATCATACAAGTACAACAGAGCATCGTTAAGATCCTTTCATGTTGTTTTTTTACAAAGCAACTGTTATTTCTTATCCCGTTTAAAGTTAAATTCAGATTTCGAAACCCATCTAACATTTGCTGATTATATGGTAGCTCTTACCGAAGTAAGGAAGATCGTTTACATGTATATTACTTTTCCTGCTGTGGTTATGGACGAAACGGCCTATGCATTTGATCGATCAAAGAAATCTTACACCATTCATCGTCGTAAAGCAGTTAGGTTTTGATGCTTTAGCATGTGACGATAACTAGCCTAATGAAGGCATCTAGTTGTTTGCATTATGCAACAGTGTGTATGCGCTCCCACCTTGTATCTTTTTCGTGGGAATTCCAGAAAAGAACATTTCCAGAAAAATAACGAAATCTTGTGGTTAGTGGCTGTCAGATGGATCGGTTGTCCATGTATTGGCTGATTGCGTGCCATTGATAGATGCGCAACATATGAGTCACTGGATTGTAAGGTCCAGCCTTGATTAAAGTCAGACCACATTGTCTCGAAGTAAATACTTCGTCTCTGCGAATTTCATTATTAGTCATCATTTTGTGTTTGTGGCGAACCTCGGCTAACTCCAAGTATTTACGAAGGTCCCTTCCACTTCGACACAACGATGTTTAACCGTATTTCCAGGCCGCGCTCATATAGCTGACTCAACAGACCAACCGTTCCTATTGTTCAAAAACCTATCCAACCCGTGAAGGTCCGAGTTAGAATGTGCCTTCAGTAACCCATGCTTGTCGTAAGAGGCGACTAACGGGATTGGGTGGTCAGGATCGCTGACTTGGTTGACACATGTCATCGGTTCCCTGTTGCGCGGATCGATGCTCATGCTGTTGATCACTGGAGTGCCCGGTTCAGACTCGATTATTTACAGACCGCCGCCATACAGCTGGAATATTGTGGAGTACGGTGTAAAACTAAACTCACTCACTTTCCCTTCCATCAGCAAAGTGTGACTCGTCACTTGATGTTTTTTTGGTACATTGCATGTTATATAAAATGATCACGGTACTCCAAGTGACTTTCAAACTTGAACTCACACACTATGGACTAGTAGTGTATGAACCCACCCCGACAGTTGGTGCACTCTATTATAACTAACCATAAATAACCATTGATGTCCATTATCAACTTAATGTGAATGAGTCTTATACCCAAGTCATATTCACTGGTGTCACCGGTTCTGTATACTGTTAGAAACGTAGGGCATTATAGAATTTAAATGTTCATACTTAGTATTTAACCGAGGATAAGTGTTGACGACACACATCCTTTGCAAGAACGTAAAATACATGTTCCCAATTCGTTTAATGTTGCGATGATGGAAAAATTACCACGAGCTGGTAAAATTTAGAAAATCCATGCTATCTCGATTATCCCCACCTTTTAGTGAAGAGTATAAGTTGGCCGTCAAAGGTTTTAAAAAATATTCATACATGTACGTGGATTGTTTAGAAAGTTCAGAATCATTTACCAGGAAAAGAAATGGTGTACTACCATCAGAAATGCGTTACGCTGCCGTTCGCAGAGCAACATATGCCTATTACATATTTTCCTGGTACCTGGAACCATCACTGATTTTGAGTGATTAATTCAGAAATATTACACTTTCATCACTATACAATTCAGACCGATATTTCTCTCGGTCTTACGTTTTGATATTCATATTTCCGATAAGAGTAGTTTCTTCAAGAAGCTTGGGAAATTTGCAATTTGCCATATCTTAATATCACGTACAAGAGAGTCGATTGTAGGACTTCGACTATATGACTAGAATGAGTTTATGCATCACTATGAAATAGTGTTAATATCAGATGTTCTATAGGACATCTGCAGGAAAGACTTCAACTCAGTTTCTTCAACTCACCAATCAGAGGAACATAGTCCGATGTTGGCGGCATGCTGTCCGCCACCAACAGCATGAACACCGAGTAGGATAGCAGTACTGTAATGCTCAGTGTAATCTTCTCTCCGGCATCAGGTGGCAGACAAAATGTCAGGACGCTCAAGATGTTCAGCCAGAAACACGGAAATAAGATGTTGAGGACGTAATACAGGATTCGACGATGGATCACCAAGGTAATTGTCACATCCGGGTACACGGCATCTCCGATAGGGTACACGACTTCATGGCGGACTACTTGGTAGGTGGTAAGGCGCCACTCGCCATTTGTTATGTAGTTTGAAATGTCCGCAAGTTCCGACCGATTGATGAGGTCTACCTGAGCCTTGTCGTATGTCCAAGAGCCGAATTTCAGAGTGCAACGTTGACTGTCAAATGGGAAGTATCTGATGTCGATCTTACAGGAACTCCGCAGTCTAGCTGGGGGTGACCACAACACTCCTCCGTTGCTGTCAACCATAGCGTTGCAAGGCATGAATCCTGTCGTGTAGTCATCAGCGCTGAAATATATAACTTTATATAAAGACCATATCATTGCCGATGGCGATGAGAAGGGGAGGTGAACCCCATTTGGTCGGATAATAATTGAGTGAATGAGCTTAGTTTTACGCCGCTTTTAGCAACATTCCAGCAATATCATGGCGGGGACACCAAAAATGGGCTTCACACATTGGACCCATGTGGGGAATCGAAACCGTGTCTGAAGATAATAACTGAAAATAGTTTTACTTTACCAAATGCCAACAACATGCATGGATATGTCCAATACTGTATTGCATTTTATCATAACATGATCATTGGCTATTTCGAAACTATTACTGAAGAATGTTATATATTTTGTGATTGGTCAAATCAAGTTTGTGTGTATAATTTGTTTTGCTTTACAATAAAGGTCAAAGCTTCCATGCACTAAACAGGACCTACTTTCTCTTTCGTGTTCGCGACCGCCTCCGTGGTGTAGTGGTTAAAGCATCCACCCGGAGAGCGGAAGGTTGCGGGTTCAATCTCCGGCCGCGTCATACCAAAAGAGTGAGTGAGTTTGGTTTTACGCCGCTTTTGTCAATATTCCTGCAATATCATTGCGGGCGACACCAGAAATGGGCTTCACATGTCAAAAGACGTTACAATATGGTACTTGTTGGTCCCTGCCTGGCGCTCAGCATTAATGGGTACAACAAGGACTGGCCGGTTCAGAGTCAGTGTAATGTGTCTGAGTGGGGTATTCATGCTTAACTGCGGCATGGTATCTCAGGGAGCTAGCACTATAAAACCAGCTTCAGTCTGGGCTAGTACAAGCAGCCACACATACACACGCATGCACGCATTATATGAGCGAAATAGTCTTAAGTCCGACAATAACCCCATTTCACCTCACCTCACCTTTCGTGTTCGCTGGCTTAAAATTGAAGGACAAGCCCAAGCAACCAGTTGTTGATGTGTTTCTCAGTTGTATTGTGACATGTTTATTAGTTAAGGACACATCCCTCACAACCCTTTACTACAGTGTATTACATCCTTGTGTTCAGGAACTCAGGCGAGTTACAAGCAATGATGGGATTTAAGTAGGGAGAAGAATATTGAAGTCAGGGATTATTGTGCTACCATTAACGCAGGGCATGCTTACCATTTCACCAAACAACTGTTTTCATGCCCTATCAGATATAGTCCCAATTTGGCATTTTACGCCTACTGGCATCTGAAACGTCGGATAATCGAGAAGTTTCGATCGAATATTTTTGTGTATATTCACTGTGTACATCTGAGTATAGGTATCCCAAGAAATCTAGGTTTTTTTCACATGTATTTCTTCTTGTACATGCAACTCACATGCCTACAGAACCCAACCCTATGTACTAAGAATTCATTAAGGTCCTCATTCATTACTAAATACTTACTTATTATAAAGCACTATGTCAGGTAGCCAAAGTTTCTTCGACGGAAGCCTGAACATTTTTAATCCGCCGAAATCTTCAGGATCCCATTCTATCCGTTCATCCTTCCAGCTCTGTGAAATCATAGAAGACAGTGATAAAGGGGTTGTCAAAGGGCAGTCAATAATATTCCTGCTATCTCACGGCTTTACAAACACACATCTGTGGGACGCTCCATAACGGGCATGATGACACACAACCAGGCAGATCGTCATTCTAGTCGACAATTACGACACGCAAGGAACACTAGGCAATTTCCCGGAATCCCTTCGGGGTTCAGTTTCTGTGTGGACGTTATTTGGGGAAAATGAATACGACAGCCGTGGTCGTGACGATCCGATTTACACTTTTCCCCGAATTTACCATTTTGTGCAAATCAAATGCCAGTATTTCTGATTAATCCTGCTTAGTGTACCACACTCTAATCTTTCTGTCTTCAGAATGTGCGCTGTGAAATGGTTTTCCAACACACAATGCAAAACTAAGACAAACCATTACCGTAAGACCCATGGTACTGTATTCAAATATGTGGTATAACTGCCAACCATTACGATCGAAAATATAAACCTGTAGAAATTACAACAGAATGTTAATAAATTTTCATCCAGATGGATACCTGGTGGTTTTAACGTCAAAAGGCATTTCCACAGACTTTCTCTAAATCAAGACTAAAGCAGTTATGTATTTCTCCTTCGGGTAAACCTGACTTTTTAAATACCATCATTCATTATATCACCTCAGATGTGAAAACAGCTGCCACACAAATATTACCTTGATATAATTCATCGACACACTGTAGGAAATAAATATATAGGTTAGAGCAAACGTCTAAAATTGGTTGAAGAGACATCTGAAGTGGTTAGGAAGCTGAAGGAAGGTTAATCAATACGAGTCATACGGAAATGTTTGCAGACCTAGAGTAACACATGATCTACATACAGTATACGTTTGTAACGAACACCCTTATACCCAACTGACGAATGTAACGAACTGATTTGTGTGGTTCCTGTCACTGTACATTTTATGCGAAATGCATGTAACTAACTACAGTTATAACCGTAATTTATTGTACATCTTAGCCTATGCAAGTGGTCTCAATACATCGGACCGTCCCACACGTAGTTGCAATACATCTTAGTTAAACGTATCAAACTATCAACGAACAATTTATGAAATCTTTGAATGAGTTTAGAAGTGATCGAATAAATCGAGTACGGTTTGGATGTCAACGTATGCATTTTGACAAACACGGCATTTCGAAGTATACTGCTTCTCCATCATCGTCAATGTACCCACGTCATCCACGTGATGAAGGAGTAGGAACATACAGTGAAACGCGAAGTTCTTCATAATACTTGAAGTTGACAATCAGAAATGTTCCCGTTTTAACATGTTTTGCTTCAACATGCGCCAACATGATCACTCGAAGGCTACCTTTAAGTAAAAATTCCAAATAAATGTAAAAACACTCAGTTAAGAATGATTGAGAAAACATGACTGCTTACTCATTCAAATTTTACTTTCGACGTTCAGACAGAGTGGTGCAATGGCGACCAAGATGAACGCCTCCTGATGAAGACCAATCTTGGGAAACATTAGAATACGTTACACACCATTACTTCTTGCTCATTCGATGTCACTTTTTCAATATCATCAGAAAATATGAAATAATGACGTTAGACTGCAAATAAAAGCAAAAGATGTATTTGGCGCTTTTCCAAGTTTCACAAAAATGAAAAATAATTCCATCTAATTTGATTGATATGTACATGTTTCATGATGAATTGCAAGTATTCATGAGGTCTTATTTCCTGTCTGGTAGGATAGACTCACCGATTCCAACCAGGCATTGAGTGTCAAGATCTGGTTCTTCTCATCCTGGAACAGACAAATAAAAACCCTTAAAAATCTAAAAGTGGCCGCGTGACATGATTGCACATTTTTGTCTGAAAGATATAATCTCTGGGTATATTATTACATTGATACAGAACGTTTATTACATTGATACAGAACGTTAAGATAAAAACATTGACGCATGCTTCTTCTGATTATGGAGAGGGTTTTATCGACGATATAGTTTTTATTTCATTATGGTTTATTATCATTACTCGTAAAGAATCCACCAGTGGCAGTGTAAAGAAAACCCGTTCGTCCCGACTAGCAAACGACATTTTGTGATTATTTAACTCAATTTGACTGACCAATCGTAAGTGTTGGTTTTTCAGCCAATTGCTGAACATTGAAAGCACGTTAACACTTGTCCACACTATCTGCGTCTGTAACTAAAAAAAGTAATGCATGCCGATCTCAGCGAGTGATAGAATACTGTTTCACACCGTAGTTAGAAATAGCCCAGGTATATTTCGGTGTTTGAATATTGTCATAGCAAACCTGTGGAGTGGTGAAACATTCATGTGTCATTCCCCGGCTGGGTCCTCATAAATAGGTTCCTAGTACAATGCTCATGGTATGGCTGTTGTTTAATCTAATCTAAATCATCATAAGGCTATGGGGTGGCGGTGGGGTGGGTTTGACTGTGTTAGTTGCATCATATGAACCATTCCGTGTTTAAGTGGCACAAAACCCAAACTCCACAGCCTGCAAAAACTCAATCTTGGATTCGAACCCTCAACATGTGGATCAAGACTCGGGAGTTCTGCACCAAAGCCCCTATAATGAGTATTAATAAATGCCTACAGTTTTTATAGCTTTTTAAAGTAATTCTCTATATGCAACATATGACACTCACATATGATTCTTTACCAAATAATTCCGGATTCATGGTGTAAAAAATAAATAAATGTAATTCCGTATCATATTTCCGATCTCGGTGTCCCTTTTCCAGCATTAGTGTGGACAACTTTCTATTCCTGCTGTAGTTCTAAATAGCTTCTTCTGTCTGATCAAATTTAGTCCATAGCAGAAATGATAAATGACGGATCATTGACTGCAATGATAGTTGAGAAAAAGCATCCAACTGGTAATCGTTAGCATTTTACTCCTGGATTTCATGCCTTTTAATTCCAAAACAGGCAATCGTTGAAAAGCCAGCTCAGAGTCGGTGCTAATGTAGGATCACGTATGCAGCTCACGAGTTCTGGCGCTCTGCGATCCTCGTTGGAGAATTATAATGTAATTGTAGGAATCAGAGGGGAACCGCAAAGTCCTCTACTGACACTCGGCAGAAGATTACATAAAATTCCGTATTTGGAATTGTAATGTTAAGGTCTGCAAATGTCATCACCACCACTCTGGTGATCAATTGTCGTCTTTGACAGCAACGTCAGACAGTCATTTGCCTTGGCATTTAAGATTTCTGCAGTTGATGAATGATCGAGCGCAAAAATGTTGCTATTCATCTTGAGCAAGTAGACTTTTTGATATGTATTTGGTACTGTAAATGGTCATATGTATTCGCTTAGTCTGGTAACGATCGACAAGAAAACGGCTTAAATCAGTTTTATATATCATTCGCATTTTCCCAATTAGACATTACGACATTCGGGAATTGGAATAGATATACACCAACTTGAATCACTTACCATGTTGACAGGAATTAGTACTTTATAGGAATTGAGTATTGATTGCGAGTAATTTGTTAAATACACTGAAACAGAAGACAGAGCGCATATGTGTTGACTGAGAAGAAATGAACTATAAAATAAAAGTCGATATGTATGCAGATGGTATTTTGCAAATGTCTACGCATTGTATATTGCAATGCAGGCATATGGAGAAAAATAGACCGTAATGAAAACAGATGACAGTATTAAAGCCCTGCTCCAGCTTGTCTCATAATCTACACAACAATACATGTATCTTGAAATTGAAACCTGGTCCATATGAAGATGTTTTTTTAAATTTCAAGTAATTATCATTACCAGGAATTAAAATGAGTGAGTGAGTTAAAGTTTATAGTCACAGCGACAGTATTTCAGCCATATCGCGACTAAAAATAGTTATTAATTTATGATAAATGCGCAAATTTTAAACTTTTGAAGAAGGACAGTAAAAGTAACTAGTATATCACAGTAAATAGAAATATAATTAACATATATCTCGAAAATAGGATTTCAAATTAGGACAATACAATATAAAAAAGGCTGAGGATCGCCTGAAGGTAGATCACGACTCTAGGGACCATGGGGACTTATAGTACTTTTGCTACCTACATGGACCCTAACTGCATTTATACCATCCGTTCAGCCATTGGCGATTGCACTGATATTTAGCCAAAATAAAACAACAAATATTCTACGATTACAAAGTTGTGTAGAGCTGAATATACTTTGAAAGTTTTGGGACTTACGTACCCTCTCAGGAGGACAATCATTTTACAGTACTTTAACCTCCTTCGAGGATACAGATATTATCAATCAACTCTATTTCTTTTAAAAACTCAATGATTAAATGATAATTTACATCATAAAAAGGATCCATCAATGTTTTGGCACTGAAATATTTATCCCTTGTGATGGAAAAATCAATACAATCAAGCAGGACATGCTTGACCGTACAAGAATTAAAACAAATTATAGAAAATAATCAGAGGTATAACGTCTTATGTTCCAGCGACTTGGAACACATATGTATGTATGCTGCTTTGCTCGGCTTTTCTGACTATGCTGGATTTTAAATGCCAAATGTGGTGTCGATTTTAACGAGTGAAATGATTACAAGGTGGAAAATTACAATCAATGGATTGGACAAACACCTCGTTATTTATGTTACATGGTCGCTTTGTATTGTAATACTGTCGGTACATTCTTACGGGTGTTTCACAATTGTAATATTATTCATTATAAGTGTTTATTTTACAAAATGCATCATTATTACATTGGATTTACGATTGGCTTACAGTGCCATGTTTTATTACATGTGTTGCTATTTATATTTGTGAGTATTTGGTCTACATGCACTTTCAAACTGAGGGGCATTGGGCCTTCTGTTACTTCATATACCCATACTACCTTCACAAATATCCATGCTGTCAGTGCAGCTAGCTAAATATGTTTGTTTTTTTGTGTATGTGTGTGTGTGCGTGCGCGCGTGGCTGTGAGGGCACAATTGTTACTATAAATTTAGAGCCACAAATTCTGCATTTTGCTCTATGGCATTTTCATTTCAATTTTATAATCGAATTATACTACTGTAATATCGATGGCTTCTCGGGGAAATATACATTTGAATAGGATTGCCCGAAACATTTAGACCTGGACTATATAATAATGCAATAATGTTTGGTGATGCAAGTATGTATATGCATGACTATAACATATAGGGCAGCTATCATGATGGAAAACTTCCAACTATCATCACGAATTATTCCTAAACCATTACTAGTTTAACAACTAAAGAAAATGAAATTGAAAGAAATAGTGTTGAAAAATTTGTCATTTTTTGTGCTTCAAACCGTCCTTTAGAGAGTGACGTTATAACTATATTCTATTGCTAACAGAATATCGGGGTGACGTTACTGGGTTTAAGTCACACAAATATGTACAATTAGAACACAATCAAGAGGGAATTTGATAACGTCGTTACCATGCATGATATTATTAACAGCCAGTGCTGAATGAAGTGTCAAATAATGGTGTTATCTAATAGCCACATTGAATGTCATGTGATGGAGCCGTCGCGTGTTGCTATGTCGTCTTTTGACCTCTTAAAGAGGCTATGAATTCTGTATGGTAATGGCATTGTAATTTCCATACCTTCGAGGTCCGGGATATCTAGGCTTTGATATGTCAAGATAACACCAGCATCATGTGAACATTTATCCAAACGCTAAAACATCTACACCAACTACAGGAAATGCAATTGAAGCAAACTGAACAAATTCAAATTATGTTATCTAAATAACATTGATCAAATCTAAATATTACGCTGAAACAAAATCTCATAAACCGTATAATAGTAACGACTTTTCGTTAATTAGAAATATATTGAAATATAATGAAAACAGTTTTTGAGTTCATATTATGTATCAAAACATTGCATCATCAATCTACATGCAGATATGAGAAAAGATTATCTACGGTGAGCCTCACAAACCAAGGCCTGAAAACCACAAGGAGGAACGTCTTAGCTTGAACAAGTTCTGGTAAATTTACTTTTCATTCAAATGCAAGGCTGTCGTCACAGAAGGCATCTTTCGACCAGTGAAATAAATGATAAAAAGATATTATTTGGAAATTGAATTTGACTATCTGATTTTCATCAATGTCCCAAGTGCCGTTAGCCATGTTAGAATGGCGTGCATTGGGAACCACAAGGGAAACAGGGAAAGTTTTAATGCAGAAACGCCGATATATTTTCACTTGCAATATCGACTTAAACCTTTAATGGCTGTCTAGGGAGTATACACCGAGGAGGTTTGGACATCAATCATCCTGATACATGAGCTTATTAGATGAAGAATGGGCCGCATCTCCCTACTGGATAACAGTTTGTTCTTCTCACAACGACTGTCAACCGAAAATAACAAATCTGTCAGCAAGAAAAATGCTGTGACCGTATTGTCTATACTTTGAATTCAGACCGTTTCTAGCCTTTGATTTAAAATGCATAATATTTCAGATAAAACTGCCAGAAGTCAACTTCAACGCGACAGTCGATAATGAGTAGCTAATAAAAATCAATCTGTATCTTAAGGCATGGTCTTTGCACAGTTTGCACAAATAGATTCCAAAAAATGTTTGACTCTTCTCAAAAGTGCTAAAGCTCGTTGGAGAAATATTACGTTGAAGGTGGCAGGTGCATTTTTCACAGTGTGAGGTACACATGAGTGCATTAACTGATTTACACAGAAAAGCGGATTTAAGGCCTATAATTAGTTTATCCTGCCAGGCTCAAAGTCCTATCATATCGAGTAGTGTCATCGTTGCATAAAGTATTGTTTTGCCGAAAGCTCTTTCCCGTTTTTATGTGATACTGATCAATTGAACATGTGCACGGGAAGTGACGACCAACCGGGGAACGAGAATCAATGTCGTGGATATGCCACACGGATTGGCGGCCAAAAGAACGAATATAACATCCTTGGAGGTTATTTCTTTTTGATATATCAGCCTAATCTATAGACGTTGTTTGGAGGCCACACAACCACTTGTGTGGTACATGTCTATCGAACAGAGAACAATCCATTTTGGCTGCAGTAATCTTTGCTGATGCATTGTCGTATTCAGGAAAGATCGTCTGTACTTCTTACGGGGTTTTCGAAATTACGTTGCATTTGGGAATTTTATGTGTACATTGAAGGAACAAAAGTCCTTATTGCCCATCTATGCACCATTCGATAGGGTATGTAAACACTGCAGTAGAAAAATACCCAGACATCTTGTCTGCTTTCAAATAATGACTTTAATCCTTATATTTACCCAACGGCAAGCGTTACGGGCTATGTTCTTCAAGTCATAAGTTTTGATAGCAAAATAACATAATTAAGTCAACTGGTGAAGTTTTGTTCAACCGTTAACGCGTATGATGTCTGTGGCGTCAGCGTGGTTGTAAGGTTTTCTATTACAGTTGACAAATGTCCAGACGATGCATATGGTCACCAAGTCTGGTTTCCAAACTTTTAAACCAAGGAGGGCATGACGGCATTTACATCTAAAGGTGTGACCACTAAACTATCCCATTGTCTCTCGGTTTCATCCACATCCCTTGTGAGATACACCAGAACTGGATTACACAAGTTGTACATATTGAGATTCGAACCAGAGTCTTATTCATAACGCTCAACAACACGGCTGCCCTAGACTCCCATCCCATGTTTCTTTGTACGTTCCATCACTTAGACATGTAGGATACGACAGTGTGCTGTTGGGAATGGTTATTACGACTGCTTCTAAATTACCTGTCAACATAGATTATGCTCCTGTTAATATTACTTCTAAATTACCTGTCAACATAAATTTTGCTCCTGTTATTATTTACAACTTTGAAATCACTGTTCAACATAGATTATGCTCCTGTTATTATCACTTCTAGATTACCTTTCAACATAGATCATGCTCCTGCCATTATTTACAACTTTGAAATCACTGTTCAACATAGATTATGCTGCTGTTATTATTACTTCTAAATAACCTTTCAACATAGATTATGCTCCTGCCATTATTTACATTTTTGACATCACTGTTCAACCTAAATTAGGCTCCTGTTATTATTATCACTTCTAAATTATCTTTCAATACAAATTATGCTTTTTGAACAAATCATGAACATCCACTTAAAGTGTGTACAATGCTTCTGTTATTATTACCACTTATAAATTACCTTTCAAAAGATTATGCGCCTGTAATCATTATTACAATAATAACTTCTAAATTACTTGTCAGCATAGATTATGTTCTTGTTAGCATTGTCACTTCTAAATTACCTTGCAACATAGATTATGCTTTTTGGAAATTCACCCACAATAAAATAACGTTGTATAACATGGTTTGTGTGATTTCAACGCAAAACACATAACAGACATCCGTTATTTGTATGAATGGTTAAATATAATGTATCTTGCCATGATAATCTGACAAGAATAGGGCAATAAACAGAGCTAAGTGCGTCCTTGATGTTAATGGACAGCGCTAACAGTGCATAAACGACCATTCGTGACCAGCTATATTACTGTTGTAAGTGGCATCTAAGATTGCGACACAGTTGCAGCAACACGTTTCGTTAGGATCATGCAACGCCGTCTAAAGGAACATATAAGCGTTTATGTGGTTAACCCATGGCTGCTAGCTTATCACACTATCACCTATATATGAAGGAACCAGGTGCTCCCGCAGCTAATGTTTAGTAGATGTAATAAATATACTCTCTTGAAGAGAGACTTGCATACTGGGCAGCCGGTTTGAATCAGTTTGATAATATACTATGTGAAATTTGAAACCATCATATCAGAAGTCATGTCTTTTGAAGATTTGAAGAAAATAGAGATATTTCTGGATTTCTGACAATTTATGTATTAATTTCCCCAATGGATTTAATACATGCTCGGTTCAATGCTTCTGTGAATTGCAGATACACCATTCTCACCCAAAAATGAGTAGCAACGTTTCAGAATAAGCATGATAAATTATTGGAAGAATCCATGGTCAAATGATGATATTATAGAGTCTTAGCATGGTGAAGTCTTGGATGATTCAATGGTCAAATGGTGAAGTTATAGAGTCTAAGTAAAGTAAAACATTAGTTCAGCAAACTACTCACCATGTCCATGATCTGGATGAGATTAAAGTTGAAAAACACTTCCACATTATCGGAGGAGTTGAAGACGGGTCGGACGCTGGTGTCATACACCCTGGGATTGAACAACTTTCTCAGGAGTCTCTGTTCGTCTGGTAGCTTCCCCGTGCCAGCCGCCACTGGATGAAACACAAAGACACTGGTCAGTACCCACACCTGAGCGCAAACGGAGACCAGGGCACGTCCACTGCCAGGCATTAGCTCTCTCATAATGATTAGCTGGTAACGTCGCCGCGTGATGGGCCAGACCAAAGTAGCTCTCAGATGGCTACCATCAAGCTCCACGCTTAACCCCGGAAACGTTCAAGAACCTCACACACATGCACAATCCGAAAAAATCCTGAGATGAATTGTCGGTGTTCCAAGGAGAGTAATATGCCAGCACAGTGGGCCAAGTTTGTTTTGAAAGCTACACAGCACGCTAATACAGGCTTCTATGAGCTGACGCACTATCCGCGATCAGCCTTGGTTTCGATACACGAATGTAGACAGATAGCGAGGCAGGCTGAACCTGCCGATACGTAGTCCCAGCTTATGTAACCTCTTCTCGGGATCTACATTATTCGGCGATATACTGGACGTGGAGCTTTATCTGTCGTGTATCAACAGTTGTCCCGAGACAGAAAACACGTCTTTTCAACTTCTAGCTTTTACAGGAGTGAGTGACGTCAGAGACATAACATACCCTTCGTCTGTATTCGCCCCTATCGCTACACCGTCTCCCAAAGCAATCTAGCACCGTGAATGACTTTGCTTTCTTTGATAATTCAACTACCTTTCTGTATTTGTTTAGAAAATATCCTTATATTTAAACAACAAATATCAACGTCGATTTTGTAAATAGGCAGTGTAAACATTTACGGTTCTATTGCAAACAAATAACATATTATCATAAAGTTTGAGTTGAGCAGTTGACACTATTCAGTAAGACAGTGCTTTCAATCTGTCCTTGCATTGATCTCCTTTCAACTGGCTCTTAAGAGTCGGTGATATATGTTACAAAGCACTATTAACATGCTTGAGGCGTGGGGCGATATAACGGGCCTGAACACCAGCGAGTTCTCAAAGGCGTGCAATGCTTGGCGGAGACATGTTTCGTTATGCGAACAATTAACACTGGGTTATAAACTTACAAATCATGAACATTTGGATTCATGGTGTGTTTCATAAATGTTAATTTCATCGAGAAACTTTCCATCTTTTCCAATAATCAGCTGCAGGTTTGGAATATTTGACTGAATGTCTGTCTGTGTACGTTGAGATCTTGTATGATGTTTAATAATAATGACTTATCTGTTAAATACTATATTGCAAGGTTAGGGAAGAAGTGGACCCCATTCTGTTGTCCTCCGGTTAACTTGTGTAATGATGCCTTTGAAATCTGAATAATTTCAGTGCAAGGGGATATCGTAAATAACATGAATTTCATATTTAACAGAGGACTTATCACCTATTTGTATTGCATGTAAAGGGTTTATTTGGAAACAGTTCAATGACTTCATTGATTCACACATGCTGAACGATATAAGATACCGTTGATCCTAATACAAAGGATTACTTTATATTCAACGAATCAGTTATCTTGCTCACAAAGGAATACTACCTAAACGATCCAAGCTTGGACACGTCAAAACACATACAACCGCCAAGATAAGACTGCCTTTCAAGGAGGACCCAGAAATAAAACCAAATTCCCTCACTGTCGTTATTGGGCTCCTGAATTGGTGGTCTGAGCAATAATAGGCGCTACGAGAAATGTCACTCAGTCAAGAATATATATAGTCACCGTGGTGCATAGCTTTGAATTGAACGTTTAACACGCGCTTTTCATTGAGATGAATAGGCAAGTAAATGCCTTGTTGTGCTTTGGATGTCTACAGGCAACTCATATACAGCCTGGGGCCACGTCTCTCAACAGTGTTTGTATGCAGGCAATCGCATAGTGCAGATCGATTAAATCTTTTAAGTCGTTTCATTAGATACCTATTTTCCAATTTCAAAATAACTTTTTATCTGAGAATTAGTTCTATTTATGGCATGTTGGCTGTTTGGTGTTTAAAAGGTGATATGTTAACTGCATGTGAGTGGATTCATTACTTGAGGAATGACTTCAGAGGAACGCAATGTATTTCAGTCAAACTAAACGGGGCCTTTTACTTCAAGATGTTAATGTAAAGATGAAATTGTGTTCATTGTTCATTTGCTTACCTCCTGTCGCTGTCTAATGTATGAATGAACATATTTTAGTCTCTTCCAGCAAATAGTAAAGGCGGCACAAATTAAACACTTTTGAAATTCGGTATGAAATATGATCATATGCAAGATGAGCAAACGCAAGCTAACAGAAAATAATAAAAATGGTCATTTTGTCATAGCATACATAATTATCTTAACTGTTATGTTTTGATAATTTAGATTAACAGTTATATGATGAAGATAAATTAAAACTATTACTTCACCTGATGATTTTTCAAAGCATTATTTTTCATTTTATCTTTTGAAACTTACAGATACGTAAAGATTTGTGAAATGAGACGCGTAGCTTTGGTCTTGATCAATACAGCATAACACGCAATCTGATGCCGAACGTTGATAGCTTAGCAATCGTTGTGAACTGTTAGTGGATTTTACAGATGTTAATAAAGTGTGCAAATATTGAAGGGCGCAACTCTGATCTCGGGATCGTTAATTATACACCATGTCGATGAAAAGAAATAATGAAATTTGGCCCCCCGGGGAAAATATTGTTACAGCACGAAATTGGCCTTCGATAGAACATGATTTACTTTGCGATTGGAGTTCAACATCATGCTATCTGCTGGCTATTGTAATTGGCTGTGCATACTGTAGATATTACTTATGGCAATATGTGGGGAATGCCCATAGGCGTACGCAAATGTATCGCTTTCTCGTTAGTGTGGTGGAGGTTTATGGAACAAATTCAGCCTGATTCCGGCGTGATACAGATAGTCCCATAGGAACCTACACCCTTGGCATGTGTGTTATGCATAACAAAGGCACCATGTTGAGCTCTCTTTAGCTAGGGGTAGCTAGCTTGTGTTAAATTGCTTTTGTGTTAACATATAACCGCCATACTCCTGTATTGACGACGTCTTATCTAACCGGCAGCGCTTGTGTTCCGAGGTCGGTTTTAATAACATGTTTGCGGTCGACTGGGTGATTTGTTTATGTGTCATTAACACTGAATAGTATATCACTTGGGTATATTGATTAAACCAAGCATCCTATTGTTGATTATATCGTATTTTGTATCTTGATGTTTTACCTGATCAATATTTTCTTAAGAAGTGACGCTATTAGCAATTTTGATGGATTGCACAGAAACATGGGTCAGCTGGTGTCTAGTAATTGTATTGACGCCTTTATATAAATCTCTATAACGTATTGTCAAAGCTAAACACCAGGGTTTTTTTGTGTTTTTATCTCCAATCTCAGTTATCTGCATCGGCTCCATTAGACGTAAAAGTGAAAGTGGCGGTGACATTTGGATAGATTACTACAAATCATTGACGACACTAGTAGTTCCTGAAACAAGTCCTGCCCTACAGGTACCAATCCCTCCATTAACCTCCATTCAGGCAACATGCATTAAAAAGAAGGTTTTGGTTTTTAGCTACGTTTGGTATAATGGCTTACTGGAGGTCATCCCAACATAACGTTCACCATTTTGTTCACTCTGATTGGCATTGTACTGACACCACTGAATGTACGTGAAGGAAAATATTCAAAATCATGATCAGCAGATCTTGGTGCAACTAAGGACTGTAACTGTGAATTTCAGAGCTACAGACGGCGTTGCCACTAATGCATCCTGTAATCTTGAAGGAGAGTGACAGGTGCAAAATTTATATTTTTCTTTTCTGGCATCTGTCCGAAAATCTCGCGTTCACCTTGTTCTTTGCCCTTTGTATGGATTATGATAGATGGTGTTATGTTCAAATTGGGAAAATACGCTCTAAAGATTGAGTTAATTGTGACCGAACTGTCACTGTAATCCACACTTTCCTCATATATCTGATGCAACCGGATGCATAATTGTGACAGAGTTGATAGACGTGAGTCCTCCAACAGGTGCAATCTCCTGAATGTAATCTTCACACACAGTAAAACATTCATCTTTTATCTCAGCGGGTAGGTTACTCATACCAGTGCAACACTCTTATCACTATATTCCCTTCAAATAATGAAGCAACAGAATAAAATAATATAATCAACTTCCTTGTCAAGCTACCTTTCATCGTTCCCTACTGTAGATTCGCTACGCGGCATGGGAAAGAGAATGTAAATCTACGCCCCTATGGAGCCCGGTGTGCATTATATACTTCGTTAGCTCTCGGGGTGACAAGTTAGGATTAATTAAATATATATCCTAATCTTGTAAGCGCAACACAAAATAGTCATACTTTTGTCTCTGATGGTCAATGTGTGACCCTCTAGTACAGTATTGCGTGACCATGAATCCATACTTATCGTCATTATATTGATACATGCAGCGGAAAGAAAATCCCAGATTGCATATACTGTGTAGCTGAACGCAGTCCTAAACTATTCTCAGTGAATGAATGAATATGGTTTTAGGCCGCTTTTAGCTCTGTTCCAGCGATATCACGGCGGGGACACACAGAAATGAACTTTACACATTGTACCCAGGTAAAGAATCGAACCCGGGTCTTCAGTGTCACGATCGAACGCTTTAAACACTAGGCTACCCCACCGCCCCGGACTACTCTCAATTAGAACATATTTCAGTGAACATCTGGTCATTTTTTCCTGTCGCTTTCTCCACTTTAGATACCATAAAATGTAAATAATGGCAACTATCGTGATCAAATTAAGAATGTGGGAAACACTATAAGTATATGTTGTTATATTTTATGTTGTCTTTAAATTTCTCTAACATTTTCAAAGGATGTTCTTCCAGTTCCACTCGGCTGACAAGACCACAAGCAAAGTAAGGACCAACAAACTCAAGAAGGTACAGGGAGACATATTGTTCCGGGCGTATAAATGCAATCCAATTTGATAAGCATAATAGTATTAAATGTGACATAATTTGATGTATTGGTTACGCACCATATTAGCAATCATCATTTATTACTTGCCTCGTGATGGCACTGACAACCGACCCGTGAAGATCCGGGGTAGAATAGGTCTTCAGCAACCCATTCTTGTCATAAAAGGCGACTATGCTTGTCGTAAAAGGCGACCAACGGGGTCGGGTGGTCAGGCTCGCTGACTTGGTTGACACATGTCATCGGTTCCCAATTGCGCAGATCGATGCTCATGCTGTTGATCGCTGGATTGTCCAGTCCAGACTCGATTATTTACAGACCCCCGCCATATAGCTTGAATATTGCTGAGTGCGGCGTAAAACTAACTCACTCACTCACTCACTGACAATCTTGTACGAATATATATACTGAACTAGAGTAACATAATGTAACAAAGAACTTTAAGGGATTTTAGTTCGTTATAACCGTAGTTCCTCCCACGGGTTTCGACTAAGAAATACAGCAAATGGCTGGGACCAAGCAAACTGATCGTGATAAACGTAGTTTATTGTATTGCTAAATTCGAATAAATACGCAACAAGTGACAAGTGACAAGTTTATTAGTATTTGGGGCCACGTGACCCAT